GTCGAGACACGAATAGATAACGCGCTTTGGAATAGCAGAACAGCTTTAAAGTGGCATCCGTCTGACGTTGACCTATATGTTGAAAATGAAAAAAGGGACGGGGTCAACTATTCCGAGCTTTACTCGATTCGAGTAGAAAAATATCGCGAGTACGACACTTTCTTCTTTACGGGATAAAATTAACGGGGCATTATCGCGAAATATATTCACTCGTTCGCAGCATTGATTTTCTCGGTTTTGTCGGTGGGATAACAGGTTATATTTGCGACCGTATCGGTGGGCGCCTCGCGACGTTGATTTCGACCGAGCAGAAATTATAGAGGCGTTGCGCGAAACGTATTACGTTCGAAAAGATCGAGAACGCGTACGTAACGGTACGCGGCCCAGCGAGCAATAATACTTAAACGCCAATGACGGTGCACCGGCATATAAATTCAATTTCACGGTTCGCCGGAGAATAGCGGAAAATTTTTATTATTTAATCCACGCGAGATTCTATCCTCCATTGTTGGCGCATTGTGCTCGTACAAACGCGAAGTAGAAAACGCGGAGAAGCTTTCCGGAAACCGAAACCGGACTGCTGCCGCCGCCTCTGCTGCTGCTGCTGCCGCTGCTGCTGCTGCTCCCTCGTTGATACGCGAACACCGTCCTGTGGATAGAGAGGGGTTGAAAACCTATTTAAATTAATATTTGGCTTGCCCCGACCGAGAGGTCTCGATCGCGCGGAACGCATGGTCTGTCCGACACCGACCTCGGATTTCGATACGCTAAAATGCGAATAAGGTTCGCGTAATTATTTGCGATAAACCTGCGCTCGCGTAATGCATACTCGACGCGGATGCAGCCGCGCCCCCGACGTCGCCGGTACCGCCGCCACCGCTGCGACCACAGCCACCATCGGATTTTCCATCCTCTCGTCTCTCCTCTCGTCGCTCCTCTCGCCGTTCCTTTCCTCCTGCCGGTGAACGTCATCGTTCGTCGATGAGAATCCACCATCGTTCGTGTATAAACTACCGTGTTTACAATCGATGCCCGAGCAAAATGGCACCGGCAGCGCGACGATGCAGCGAACAGCAGAGTCTCTTGCATCGCGTACAACACACATACCTCGCCTGGCTCTCGCTGCACCTGCTACATCCACCCTCGAGATACGACGAAACCAAGTCGCAGATATCCACCGTTTCCACGCGCTTTCCATCTCGGTCTTGTTCCGATTCCTACTCGGTCGATTGGTCCGTTGGCAGAACCGTCCTATCGTACGATCTCGGATGTTGCTCTGTTTACAAATCGTTTCACATTTTCCGTTATTAATCGATAGCAGCAGCGAGGCACGTGCGCGCGCGTGGAAAATCTCCGTACTGTGACGACGAAACTCGATGCCACGAAAAGGGATGCCGCGATCGATTCCGTAATACGTTCGGCAGTAGGTAACGCGTAATTTTATTCAAATCTCATGCAGATTGCTCCGTTATCGGCTACTTTTTCAATTACGTCGCGGCAGGCTATAAAGCGTAATAGAGGCGAGCGCGCGCCGCGGGCGAAACTTTTTCTTCGGTTTCGCCTTGCCCCGCTTCGCTTCGTCCCGCGTTCCTCCGTACCGAGATCCTGCCAAACCGGTATAAACTTTAAGTATGAGATACGGCTTGGACCGTTTTTACACCGGGCACGATCGCCGTGCGCGCGATTCTTCGTTATTACGAACTTTCGGCAGAAATAACCGCCCGATCTTAATCCTGATTTCCGTCTATGGGAAACGCGTTCGCTCGATTCTCGCTCGCGACGCATTCGGCCGTGACTAACGAATTCGCGAGGGCACCGAGCGAGCACGTTCCTTCAGGTCCTTTGCTATTTTCCCCCGGGAGAACGAACGGGTGGCTCTCGCTATCCGTTGGAAAGTCGACCGCCATTCGTTTCGCGTGCCTCGCGTTTCACGATCTAATTTTCACCGACGTTTAATCTTTGCACGCGATTCTTCGTCCGGAGAGAAGAAGATCGGTTTCTCCCGTTTTTTCTCTCCAGCCCCGGAGAATGGAAAAACGCGAGCGGAAAGGTCGCGTTTCGGCACGTGGCCGAATTTTTTCCCAAACGCTCGGAAAGGCAGCTTCGCAGCTGCTTATTCGTCTACGTGTTTCTTCGCACGCCATCTTGGCGGGATATTAACGCTATCAACGACGCAACTTCGAAGCACGCCGCGTAATTTCTTCCGTGTCGCTCGGCTGAGAATTACCGAAACGCAATTACCGAACCTCGCCGCGTTCCTTTCTACGGCGATCCGCCAACGACCACCACCCCTCTGTGGCTCGCCGAATTCCCGTGTTTTCCTCTTTTCGACCGCGTTTCCGAACTCTTCCCTCTCGCCAACTCTCTCTCCCCGGGATTTAATGAAAACGAGCGAACGATCGCTTTTGATGGCGAAAAGTCGAAAACTTGTTTCACTCGTCGAGGTCTCGTTGTCCGTAATGTAGCTCGGGCTTTAACGAACGCGTTCACCGTCGATCCCTCGAACGAAACGCGATTCAGCACCGCGCTGTAATTTGTAAACTACGCGTTTCCCAGTTGGATTCAATTGCTCGCCAAGTAGTAGTAGTAGTAGTAGTAGTAGTAGTCGAGCGACTAGAAGAGGGAAAAGAAGAGGCCGTTCTTGGTGGCCGGGCGCGCTCGCCGCGGTTCTCCATCCATTGAAATCGCGTCCACTCGATTCTTCCGATATTCGACGAGACTTAATCTCCGCTATATATCTAACGGTGTTGGCCGAAAGAAAGACCAGCGGGTCGGAATTTAGAGGCGGGATTCCAGTTCGCGGCTGTTTATCGTGTAGCTCTTTCATAGTCGATCATAAATTATCATTGGGCAGCAGTGGCGCGGCAGGTGCTTTTGATGCGCTCCGCAGCCCGTTCTAAATAAGTATATCTATATCTAGCGTCATAGGTGAATTTTGGTCAAAAAGTGCCATACGATCTACGGGAAGCCTTCCAACTAGCTCGATCATTTTATCCTTTAAAATGATTTTCAGTCCGCGTTGCGTCATCCATGATCTTTTGAAATTATGTCACACACGCGCTCGCGATCGCGGTGACTTTCACGGGATTTTCAATCGCTGTTCATACGGTTTTCATTTGACTTTTCATAGAGCTTTCAAACGTTTCACGGGAATTTTGTAAAATTTCGCCAAAATTCATCGAAAATGATGGTCAAGAACATTCAGAATGTTTAAAAATCCATCGAACCACGCGAATGCCGGCACCGCGTTCGATTAATGCACCAGCTTCCAACTATTTCGTTATGATAATCGTCACGTGCCCGGCCACAATGCGACCCGACCGGATGGCAATAATCTCGAACGAGCGATTCGATCAAAAATTATCGACGGTTCGCCGATGGAATAATATTTACCTTAAATTGCATCGCACATATACCCCTTCATCGCAGTTTTCATTGCACAGCCGATAGATTAACGCGTTCGCGTTCTCGTTCGTCGCTGCGCGAATTTTCGTCCCATCACCAATTCTTCCTTCTCTGTCCGACACTCTGCTATGCCCTTTCGACATCGTTTCCTCTTTTCGCGATAATCTTTCATTTTGCGTTCGCGCCGCGACAATTTTTTCCCCCTCGTGCCCGAAACTCGTCGCATTTCGATCCGATTGGACTCGACTCGACTCGATTCGATCCGGTCCGATCTGATCCGATCCGATCCGATTCGATTCGATTCGATTCGATTCGATCCTATCCTATCCGATCGGATCCGATTCAGCCGCAGATACGTCGACGGGTTACGAGGTCACCGACGATCGATCGTGAATCAAACGACAGACTGTACGTGTCAACGGCTTCGCCATGCCGAAAGCATCGGTTTTCGTCAGATCACCGAGGTTAAACCGCGTTGTTGCGCCCGTTCACCGCGTTTCGACCAATGTTCTTTCGAGTGTGTCGCGTCCCGTTAGCGATGGAAAACACCTACCTTAAACGCATCCCCGCCGGGCGATTACGAGAAACAAGCAACGACCTCGTTTCCAAGATGGACGATTTCGTCTTGCCGATTTTGAGCGCTCCGATTTTCCGCGACGACGCTATTCGTTTTCGACCGGAGAGATTCAGGAGCAATCGGAAGATGGAAAAAGTCGGAACGTTTTCGTTGGATTCGGCGATCCATGGAAGAGTGGCCATAAACGGTCCGTGCGATCGCAAAGTTTCGAGACCAATTTAATACTTGGCCGGTAGTCTCGCTCCAGATAGCATACCTCTTGGTCTGGTCCTTCCGTTTCCAGCGGGTCGGTATTACTGCACCCTGGGCTGGACCAACGGAAACTACTAGGGACAGACAAAGGAACGCCTCGTATCCATCCATCTTGGAAGGACGACCATCTTTTTATTGCTGGGTAAACGCGTGTCGAGTCAGATCGAAATGTTCGTTCACGGGAAATCCGCTAATTCCGATCCGCGCGTTTCCGGACGACACGCCGCGCGTTCGCGCTATTTGTCCGCTCGATTTCTTGCGATAGCAGATTTCGTTTATCGAGTTTACACGAGTTTTCATCCTATCGAATCTACGAATGCCTGGGATAACGCTTTTCCATTTTTTTGTTATCTCTTTCTCTCTCCCTTTCTCTATTTCGTTTTTCTTTTTTTTTTTCGTTTTTCCCCCTCATTTTTGCCGGCATGTCCTTTGTCGGGTATCATGTTTGAACGAAAAGTTTGTTCCAGCGCGAGCCAACGCAATTTCGCGATCGTAAACGCGATCCGATTCGATCCGATCCTCTCTTTTCCTTCGATCGGACGAAAATACGTACCATCTTTGCCTTTCATAATTCGCTTAGTCTTACCGGCGACTAGCAAATTCTTTCAGAGACTTTTCCCGGTACCGAGGAGCCTGTGTCTGTCTCTGTGTCTGTCTCTCCTTTCCTCTCCGGCTCGCAAACTCGGAGAGCAACGGTGGGCATCGAAACGGCCCGAAGGGACTACTCGACTCTAATCAAAGGCTTCCCTTGATCTTGTGCTCGCAGGTCCACCGACGGTCGTGGTGAAGCCACAATCGCAGCAGGTGAAGGCAGGCGGAATAGCGAGTTTCTACTGCACGGCGAAGGGAGTACCACCACCCCAGATCTACTGGAGGAAGTTGGGAAAGAGAGTTTCTCGTAAGTTTTCGCTTTTCACCCTTTCGTTCTACCGTCTGCTCGCCTTCCAAACTTTGCACGAGCAGCCGGTTTCTTCTCGATCGTTCGCGTCGCTTTTTCTCGGTCAACCAACCTCTGGACGACGGGGATGGAAATCGTATCGACAATACCGAGTCTCTGCGCCGCTCCTCTTCTTCCATCTCTTCCTCGTTTTTCTCTCCGAATCTACTTCCCTTCGCCACTACTTTTCCTTTTCTTTTTCGTTTTCGTTTTCGTTTTCGTTTCGTTTCGTTTTCCTTTTCATTTTCGTTTCCGTTTCCGTGTTCGCTTCCGTTTCCGTTTCCGTTCCCGTTCCCGTCGTTTCGTCGGTGTCGTTCTTTTTCGATACGCGGTGCCTCGCGTCGGATCTCGTCTTTTCTTTTCCAACTAAATTTCTCGCTCGTTCGAGCCGGAAACACCGGCTGTTGCCGCCTGGTGCGCGAACACGGACTCTACGTCGGACTCTTCGTTATCTCCGAGAGTTTCCCACGATTCCGACTGCATTGCCGAATCTTGCAGCGATACTACGTAAAGTACACGTTACTATCGGTTGTCTTCGTGGCCGCTTGCGTTCGAGCGGAAAGTCTAGAGTCGCGTGGTTGTACGCGTTTGTTAGTCACGCTCGATTCGGCAGATCGATTTCCGGTTACGTAAGTTTCCGAGTATGATTCGATATCGAGAGGTTCGCGCTCGGGCTATGTTAATGGAATTTGACGGCACGCGTTACGCGTCGCCGGGAATCCGACGAATCGAAATCGGCACCGAATTCTGTTCAAGAAGAGACTGCGCGGGGACCAGCTAACCGTTGGAAATTTGCAACGCCGCGAAAAATCGTGCCGGTTAACGGAGAATGGTCTCTTTTATCCTCCGCTCGGGCGATTGTCCTCGATTTCGAGCTGGTTCACGGCTCCGAAATTCGCTAATCCAGCGAAACGGAGATAACGACGCGTAACAAAGTTAGTCGTGATCGCGCGAAACGCGCGCAAATCGACCACTTACGAATTCCTTTCCGTCCGATTTCCATACCCCTTGGCTCGTTTCCATCGACCAACCGTGTTCCTTCCCTTTTATCTTATTTTTTCTTCCCTTATTCGCCCTCGTTCAACTCGATCTCTCTTACCATTTCGCAGAATCTCAGTCACGGTACCTGGTGCACAACTATGAAAACGGAGCTTTACTGCGCATCGAACGCGTGAAGCCGCTTCGCGACAGCACCCAGTTCGAGTGTCTAGCAGAGAACGGAGTCGGCGATGCCGTGTCAGCGTATGCCCAGCTCAAAGTCTACGAAGGTACGTAGAACCTTTTGCAAGCATGCTTTCCTCTTCATTGGCGATTCCGCGCGGCGAGCACGGGGCAAGTTTCTCCGATCCGCTGCGGAGAAATTTCCGAACGGTCCTCCGGCCTGGATAGCAGCGTCGTCCGATAACTATCAGCGTGTTACGGTCGAGAGGCAAACGGCGTAGTCGAAATTTAATATTTAACGAAAGGTTGCCAGAAACAGCTGCCGCCGTGGCTAACGCGACACACGCGACACACGATCGCCCGTGAGTTTTCAACCATGCGGTGGTAGATTTTCCTCCCGTTCCCGGCGAACAATCGTTTCGTGAGTTTTTGAACGTGCTCGGAGGAGACGAGTGTTCTCCCAAGGCCAGATAACGAAGCTCGAAGGAGAAAAAGAGAAAAAAGGTGAAGAAAAGAAGGGAAGAAGAAGGAAGAGCAGGGAAAGGAGTGATCGAAATTCTCAGAGCCTCGAGAACAACACGACTGTATAACGAGCCAAATTCTGTTGAAATTAAACGAAGCCTTTCTCCTTTCGCAGTTCGGTCCAACAGCGCGATCGCCCTAGCGAACAGCTTAATGGCGCCCAGTTCGGCGACCAGGCGGAAGGCGACGTAATAGAAAAAAAAGCGACTGCCGCGCACCTGGAAAGCTTACCCTTTTCCGGGAAGAATCTCTTAAACTTTCGCGAAACGCCTTAATTGGCTTGGCCAGCTTTTTAATTCGATTCCAACTTCGCCTCGCGGATATTTTTGCTCGCAGTTTCTCGTATTCTTCCTACGAAAAGAGAAAAAGGAGGTGGAAAATGAACCGTCCGTTGCGAGAAGCCGTCTCGAAGCTTCTCCTTCCTCCGTTCTTACTTTTTCTTTTTCCACCTTCCCTATCCCCTTTCGTCCCCTTTCGTTCCCTTTCACGGCAATCATTCTCCTTTTCCCGTTTCTCGGTTCGCATCATCGTTCGCGCCATTTCCACGCTCTAGATTCTCTTCAATTTTTTCCCTCTCTCTTTTTTCTTCTTCTCTCTCCGCCTCTTTCTCCCATCTTTCCCTTTCGAAACATCGATTGCCGAGTATTTCGTATCAATGCCATTGCCTTTCGGTGTCATTCAGTGCTCATCGTTAATCACCGGATATTCGAACCCCTAAACTCTCGAATTCGTGCGCACGATTTCACTTTATTCGTTAGAAAATTGATCCAGCGGATGCAGGTTTTTCCAGTGCTTCGGTATCGCGTGCTCGGGAACCGGTCCTTGTCTGCCGCTGTCTTCGCTCCAATTTTTCCACAATTCACTATCTCTGCGACGCAGGTTTTCGAGATACGCGGAAAAGATGAACATCGAAGCAGCTCGATTTTTACGCGGCGTAGGGTGGCGTAGGGTGGCGTAACGTGAGCGCAGGGTTTCGTGGAAATTCTACTTGAGCGGCGCGATCTTGTCGAGTGGCCGAAAGTTCTCTAATTAAAGGACCGCGGAACTTTTTCACGTACAAAATTCCGCTAGGCTCGCGGGATAAATTGAAATTGCACCGTTGAAGGGATACCCGTGCAAAGGCACGCGCGAGCGCGCGCACAGTCGCTAATTGTAAAGCGTCAAACAACATCGGCGCGACGGAGTCTGCCGGCAGGGAACCGACGAGCATCTTTTTTCCCCTCGAGGAGTCGCGGACGATCAATCACCGAGCCGCACGGCACCGCGCCAAGAACTCTTCCTTTTTTCCCACGTTTTCTCGCCGGCTCGCTTACGCCAGAGATCCATGGCCGTGTGTTTTTGTTTTCCTCTTGGTTGCCGGCGCCCACTCTCCTACTTACCGGCCGGACGGCAGAGTTTAAAAGTTGTACGAATTTTTCTCCACCGGCCGGATAAACGAGGTATTTAATTCGGGCCGACTGAAAAATACGCCAGGAGTGCCAGGACGCGCGGTCCTCGGTGCCGCAGGATCGCTCCATCGTTCTCCTCTCCTCTCCTCTCCTCTCCTCTCTCTCTCTCTCTCTCTCTCTCTCTCTCTCTCACCTTCTCTCTCTCAGCCCGCGATTCTTGCCTGCAATTGGTTCGGTAAATGGAGTCAGCCGCGTAACAAGCCCGCTTCGATATTTAGGCATCCGACAGTAGGTTGGCCATACGCGGCGCTTCGTTATCGAACACATCGCCGCGATAAATGCCCGCGAACTCGTATTAAAGCCGCATTCGGCTAATGCGATTACTCGAAGCATGTAACGTTGCAATAATGTAACAACGCAACATCGGTAAATGCGGTTAAAATTACACCACGGCAGTCTAGACGGAACGATCGATAATCGTTGTGCCCGGTGCAGACTTGCCCGAGTCCGAGTAATTATCTCGCTCGCGTCGCACCTCTTTCGTCTGTCCGTACAAGCCTACGCGGCCGCGTTTTTTAACCTTATCTCCTTCCACTCGCGAAGCGGAGAAATTATCGAGCCGGCGTGGCGAGGTTCTGCGAGGCGCGTCGCGACGCGGAGTGCAGGGGTGCGTGGGAATTACGCGAATCGCGATTCCGAGATACGCGCGGTATATTTGCCGCCGCTTCTTAACGCGCGACACGTGCTCGGCGATCGCGCGACCACCATTCCAGAAATCACCCTTGATCTCCGTTCATCGATGCGTATTATCCATGGGAATCTAGTGTGCCGGCGAGTCGTATCGTAAAACTTTACAGCGGAAAACAAGAGCTAGAATATCGTCGACGCTAAAGGTTTCCCTCGAACGGAGTAGAGATAACGTCGATGCTCGCTCGGTTTGCCGTACCGAGTGCCGTCGAGATCGGATAACGTCCTATCGGTCTCGTTGGAATACTAATTTTCTCGTTCGCGAGGGCACTCGTTGCTTCTCTAGTCGCGCAGCGGAATGGAGGGAAAAAAAAATTCCGTCAGGGAAACCGAACCTACGCTTTATCGCGTAGGGGTCGCACGCGGACGGATTGGATAGCCGTAGAGAGAGAGAGAGAAAGAGAGAGAAAGAGAGAGTTACTTACGGTATTTCGATTACCGACGGATAATCGATAGCCGATCTGTCCGACGAGAGGGAAATGACGCGCTAGGTTATCGAAAGTCTCGTTTGTCTGTCGACATCGCGAAAGGTTCGCGCGTCTCGTCAACGAGGGTCGTCATAGCGGGACACGGGAAAATTTCGCCCGAGCGTTTCGAATAAATTTTCCATCGGAAGTTTCTCGTCCTGAAAGCGACGCGGCTCGGTGCATCGTTTTGTCGGATGCCGAAGCACGGTGGTGGTCTCCCCTAAAGGGCATATAGTCCCCGTCGTAGCATTAGCCTAATTTCGAGTCCCGCGGCAGGTGGAAATTAAATTTGCACAAGGGCTAAGTGGCATCTTCGGTTCTCGTTGCCTTCCACGGCGAACTATCTACTTCGAGTTACGCCCGGCACCGAGCTACGGCAGAAGTTTGTTGCCGTGTCTCTCGCTCGTGAAATTCCCACGAAATAATTCTTTCAAGGAAGTCTCGGTGAACGAACCAACGGGCGAGACGTCGATGTCTCGACGACGACGACGACGACGACGACGACGACGACGACGACTACGCGACGCTGTCGCGCGGAAACCGGAAACGATTCGAACGGCCGAAACGCTCTTCGGATTCTCTTTCTACGTTTATCGTCGAAAAACCCGTTTACCGATTTACCCTTCATCTTCTCCGGACTCGCTCGGCTACTCTTCACTGGACCAATCCTTTGGAAATCACTGCAACGATCTCGTCTTTATTTCGATTCCTTAAACTCGTCGGAGCACAAACTCGTCGAGCCCGAACAGTTCCAGTCGCGCCGATACTCGAAACCGAATCGGACGCCATTAATTAACGGGCCTGGTCGCAGACAACGTCGTTTTCTCTCTCTCTCTCTCTCTCTCTCTCTCTCGTTTGAGACATTTTCATAGGAATCGAGCGGCATTCGCCTCCTTGGAATACCGTTTCCGACGAAGAAACTGCGATTTTGCAAACGATCGTTTCTATTCTCGTATTCCGGCACGTTCGAGGAAAGTTCGCGCAACGTTTTAGACACTATTATACCCTAATTAGAGTTTAACGTTCCGACCCACGATTTCCTCGACGACCACGACGGTCGACGATGGGTAGAAATTTTTGCACAGCTAACGAACCGACTCGGAGGTGCGGAACGGTCAATATTGATTCTGTTCGAAGTAAAAGAACCGTCCAACCGGATTTTCGCTACGAACAATTTCCTTTTGTCGTTCTTTCCTTGCCCCGCTGGACGTTTTATTTCCCTTATTTCTCTTCCACCGGTTGCTTCTTCCACGCTCTTCTCGGTTCGCGATTCGATTTCGTACATTTTAAACGACCCAACGGCACGAAACCGTTGCTCGCGTCTACCCGTTGAAATCGGCCATCGCGAAAAATTTTAACGGTTGTTCCCGTGATACATCCGTCACTCTGTATCTGTCTTTTCGAAAATGGCGAATATCGCTGGTATTCAACGCGGTGGAAAAGAGACTTTTACGAGACAGAGACTTTTTACGTGGGTCCCTGGAACGGGTTCGCGATCGATGTTAATTCCTTCGTTTCTCCGTGGTTCCCGATTCGGTAGGAACCCGATAACCTTTTCGTTCGAACGAACGAGACTCGAACCGAGGGTCGTCTTTCGAAATTTCTAGCTTAATTTCGTCGAAACTCCTAGTCGGCGGAATAAGCACGAAATAACGCGACGGAGCTCGTTCCGAGTAGACATTGGATATCTCGAAGCAGAAGATAACGGATGGAAAAAAAGTAGAGATGAACGAAGAACGAAACGGAGAAGACGAACGTTTCGCAAAGGTACGCGTATACGGGGATGAATACGCGCACATGGAGAAAGCCACGATTAAAAGATAATCCGCGGATAAAGAAGCTGGCGCCGCTATTACCGTTATCCATCGTAGCGGAACACCGCGAAGCGGAAGGGAAAACTCCGTCTACGAGAGTGGTATCGAAGCGAAGGGTTACGACGACCGCCCCCGTAGGCGGAGAGTATTTAATTCGTCCGAAAAACCG